GATGATTATCTTATTTGTATGTTAGATCAATCAGACAGCAATATGTAAGAACTTGAGAGGTTATGGATGTATAGCAGACAAGGTAAGGAAGTAATGATGAAGGTATTCGACTACTTTTTCATAGAATAAATCGGGTAATATGGCTTTAGCTTCAAAATGCCTGGATATGGAAGGTTTCAAATTAAGTGCGCATCTCAGTCAACTTACTAGGGCGAAAAGCAGCAGTTTCCGCTAGTACTCATAGTGGTTAGAAATACTCTGGTTATAAATTAAAGGAAAAAATTGGTCTTCATTTGATAAGGTTACTTTCAATCGAACAAATAAGACGCGATGTGGCTAATATTAACGACATAGCTGGACCAAAAGTTGGCCCGGCCCCTGCAGTTTAAATTTAGTATGGCGAACAAATTGGTTGTGATTAAAATATGAATACACTTTTGTGAAAAGTAGATCGGTGTATTTAAAGGCCACCTTGATTTAAGATTGCCCAGAATCTTTAGAGAGGATAAAATCATAGGCAATGGAGATTATTCACAAATGCAATCAGAAAATTGAAAGAAAGACCTCAAGAATAGAATCGAGCTTGAAAATTTGAATAACAAAATAAGTGCTGGTTTTATCCACGACGGCCCAATTCGTTAGAAAGCCAATCCAGGCCATCATATAGTCCTTGGCCCTGTGTGGCGCATGCCGTTTGTATGAACCACTAAAAAAAACAGGCGAATTAGATAGTCTTATTACAAAAAGTATCAAGCATAAAGCGTGAAAGAAGTCAGGGTCGTCAAAAAGCTTACAGATCGATTACGATGGTTCTTCAATTTGAGATGCTCAGTGATTTCTGAGACCGACATAGCATTAGGAAGGTCTTGTTTATTCGCAAAGATAAGTACAACTGCATCACGCAACTCATCCTCTGACAACATCTTGTTTAGCTCATCAGCTGCCTCTCCGATGCGTTCTCTGTCATTGCTATCAATGACAAAGATTAAGCCCTGTGTATTCTGAAAATAATGCCTCCAGAGAGGTCTTATTTTGTCCTGTCCCCCAACATCCCAAACGGTGAAGCTGATATTTTTGTATTCGACTGTTTCAACATTAAATCCAATTGTTGGAATTGTGGTTACAATTTCACCCAATTTCAGCTTGTAAAGAATAGTAGTCTTTCCGGCAGCATC